CTGAACTCAAAAATGACTTCCAAAATTTTCCCAGACTCACACTTACCCGAATTTTGACCAATTTTTGGGCCAAAATTTTTAAATCGAGTTTGACATTGATCCCAGCAGTTTTTTGGGGTGCTGATAACGAAAATCACTCTCATTTCGACTCCAGACTTATATTTTCATCCCAAATTAGGTCATTTTGGACCAAAATTTTCAAGTCGAGTTTTATATTGTTTCCTGCAGTTTTTGTGTGCTGAACTCAAAAATGACCTTCAAACTTTTCCCAGACTCACATTTAACCGAATTTTAACCCAAATTTTTGGCCCAAAAATTTTTAAATCGAGTTTGGCATTGATCCCAGCAGTTTTTGGTGTTCTGATAACGAAAATCACTTCCATTTGTACCCCTGGTCTAAAGTTCACTGAATATGAGTCCTTAAGATGCACATTTCGTCTTCTCAAGCAAAGTCCAAAGTGCACAAACCATGTCAATTCGCATCGCTCAGCCACACTACGCGCCCAGACTAAACGGCGCGTACCCCTAGTTTATTGGGGGGATTTTTGTTTACAATAAAGGCCGGGGGGGGAAAGAGTCAGAGAGAGAGAGAGAGAGAGAGAGACGGCCTTGACCATCGACGGGCAACGCGGAGGCGCCACAGCAGCAAGGAGCCGAAACAGGTCGTAAAAGCAGCAGGCGGCAGCGCAACGACGCAGCGCGGCTAAAGTGTCAAAGACCGTCTACGACGTCTACGACGTCTACGAGCAGAGCGACGCGAACGGCGCACAGCGGCGCCACAACGCGCGGCTTGAACCCGCTTTTCGCAGTGCAGTCGCCGCGTCCGTCACACTCACAGTGACGTGGCGGTCACACAATCGACACTCCATCGCCCAATCCCCGCTTTCGACTCGAAAAATACCGCACCTAACCTGCTGACGACGTAGTAAGTACTATCTATAATCGAAAGTTCAGTTTTCGATTACCGTCACCGCGTTTGCCCCCCACAGAGGAGCCCCCTCTCCCTTTCCTGCCGGCCTGCGGGCCCCTGCGCGCACACACACTCCTCTCTCTCTTTCTCTCTCTCTCTCTCTCTCTCTCTCTCTCTCTCTCTCTCTCTCTGTCTCTGTCTCTCTCTCTCCCTCTCTTTCTCTCTCTCTCTCCACATATACGCCTGGTGCGCCGTACAACCATGCCGGCCTGCGATGCCGATCGCCTCAATAAGGCCCACGCTGTGCTCCGCTGTGCTGCGCCCTGCCACGCCGTGCGATCGGCTCCAATATTGACACAATGCGCCGCATCGTCATCGCGAGTCGCTCCACTACAAATCCAAAGGTCAGACTTTACGCCTCTGGAGAGGGGAGACAAAAAGTCTCGCCACATTTTGGGGATACATTCATGTCCGCCACAATATGGTCAGATTCAAAAGTCTCGCCAATTTATGGCGGGCTTTTTGTCTCGCCAAAATATGACCCAAAAATTTTTGAATAGGGGAGGCAATGCATGGATTCATGGCAAAATAGATAAAATACTGCATTATTCACAAAATTCATAAGAAAACATTTCTGATCACCACTGATAGTTGTTTTACCCACTGGGGACTCTCAAGAGTAACGCTGTTTGTTTCGCTCATAAACCAAAAGGTGCGTCTTCACATAACAGGGGCCCCTCACATTCAGTTTCATTGAAATCAGATTGTACTCACAATAATCACAGTAGCACTGTGGCTATGAAGAAATTTGCAGGCAGGTTGAGAGTTGATTCATCCAATAAAGATTGTGTACAAACATGTAGCTGTGAGTACTGTACAACTTGGTCCAGAGCACAGATGGTGTAGACTGTTGATGAACTAAACATTTTGACAATTATCCTTTTCCACACGCGTTTGACAATAGCTCGAACGATAAAAGACATCTTCGCGAACAGATAACCCAGTTGGCAACAGTCGTCATCGCTCCAAACTAGAAAAAACTTAATTTTATTGATGCAAAGTCGGGAGGAAAACATGATAACCAGCGGCCTTTCCTCAGGTTACTTTTGTTTACGAGATGTGAGGATGTGACTGCGAATACTGGTTTGGTCATGCGTATAATTTCCCAACCCGAATCTGAATCTAAATCGTCACGCCCATAACTGCCCATAACCTCTTCTGTCCAAAAACAAAAACATAGCCTCTAAAATGGCTGCCAGCCTCTGAGCGATTGTTTGACTTGCAACGATATAATTTATTTTTTTCCTAGTTTCGAGCAATGACGACTGTTGCCAACTGGGTTATCTGTTTGCGAAGATGTCTTTTAATCGTTCGAGCTATTGTCAAACTGCGTGTGAAAAAGGAGAACTGTCAAAATGTTAAGTTCATCAACAGTCTGCACCATCTGTTCTCTGGGCTAAGTTGTACAGTACTCAAAGCTACATTTTGTAGACAATCTTTATTGGATGAATCAACTCTCAACCTGCCTGCAAATTTCTTCATAGCCACAGTGCTACTGTGATTATTGTGAGTACAATCTGATTTCAATGAAACTGAATGTGAGCGGCCCTGTTATGTGAAGACGCACCTCTTGGTTTATGAGCGAAAAAACAGCGTTACTCTTGAGAGTCCCCAGTGGGTCAAACAACTATCAGTGGTGATCAGAAATGATTTCTCGTGAATTTTGTGAATAATGCAGTAGTTATGTATTTTGCTATGAATCCATGCATTGCCTACCCTATTTAAATAATTTTTGGGGCCCTATTTTGGCGAGACAAAAAAGTCTCGCCATAAATTGGCGAGCATTTGAATCTGACCATATTGTGGCGAGACATGAAAGTATCGCCAAAATGTGGCGAGACTTTTGTCTCGCCACATTTTGGCGTAATGTCTTTCCATTCAGTTTGCAGTGTCCACTGTATCTGCGGCGCCGCGGAGAGATACCTCTAGAGAGGCCGGCGGCGGAGACTCTCTAGCGCAGCGCTCCCTAGAGAGACCCCGTCCCCCACCCCTCCCTCTTTTCCCTTTTACTCCCGGGTACGCCGGATGCCGCGAGGGCCTCTAAATTTACACAGCGGAGTCACGTCAATTATTCGCAAATCGTGTGTGTGCGTGAGAGAGAGAGAGAGAGAGAGAGAGGAAAAGGAGAGAGAGAGGGGGAAAAGAGGGGAGGGGAGAGAGAGGAAAAGAGTAAAAAGAAAGGGAAGGGGGAAAGTCGTTGGAAGCCGAGACGTCATGCACTGTTCTACAATCGGTGCGGGAATGTCGCAAGGATAAAAGCAAAGGGCAAGGAAGGAAAAAAAAGGG